CCTAGGCAGAGCCCCTGCCCTGTGACTTCAGGGAGAGTCAAACTAAGACCTGGTGAGTCCAAGCATTGCTGAGGGGGACTGGTATGGTTTAAAAATTTTTCATTAATAGCTATACCTTCATAATGGGGGGGGGTTGGAAGGAGACAGAGCCAACAGTCTTTGGCCTGGTCAGGGCATGTAGCGTTGAGGGCTGTGTAAGCCCCTTTAATTAATTTTAATAGTCTATCCCCGGTACCTGGGATTGGGAATAAGTGGGTGTTGCTAGGGAGAGTTGGCTGTGGCCTGGAGGGAAGTTTTTGGTCTGTAAGCACAGAGTTTGGCCCTATGGCTTGTGGGTCAGGATCTCTAATTTCCAGGCGAATTTTAAAGACAACTCCTTTGTCCAGGCCTGGCAGATACCACCTTAGCCCCCAAGTCTTCCCCTGTGTCCAAACCGCATAGTCCTTTTTCCCATGGATGGTGAAGTCAATTCTCAAAGGGAGACAACGGGCTGACTCACAGACCCAACCTCCCACATTGATGGGAGGGTGGCAGCTTTTCCTGCCCAAGGGGGGGCGAGTGTAATTTCGGCGCACTGTTATTAGATCCCAGGACGAGCTGGGCTTCCAATAGGCACTCCCGGTGGTCTCACATCCCCAATTTTTACAAAAGTATTCCTGATGCCCCCCACATCCTGACCCCCTGGGTTGACTCAGCTGAGGACAGACATAGAAGTCTGATTGGGCTAGAAAACATCGGGTCTGGGGGTTGCTACAGCCTATCCATCTGTCTTCTGTTCTAGGCATGTCCTTTTTAAGGGAGTCTGCACCATAAGTGGGGATGTCCCAAGTGTCCAGTCCAGCAGCTAGTTGGCAAAAGTCAGGGGTGAGACTAGGCCACCAGGTGCCAGGTAGATTAAGGCCAGAGGTTGACCAGTTTGGGAAATCACTTGCCAGGTCAAGAGCGGGGGAGGGGGGAGGCATGGGGAGATCTCGCTTCAGAAGCATTTAAACCTATGTACAAAAGCATGCTTGCTAATATTGTGAACGTAAAAGTCTTATCTTTAAGGGGTTTTGAGAGCGTTGAACTTTCCATGTTGTTTCAGATGGGGCCTGGTCCTGGGTCCGATGTTCTGGTTGTCTGGCCTTCACGTGGGATGTGTGGATCCAGGCAGCAATCCCGTCCACTTTCAGGGCGGTGGGAGTTGTCAGGAGCACAGTGTAGGGGCCCTTCCAGCGGGGCTCTAAGTTCTTAGTCTGATGTCTCCGAACCCAGACAGAATCGCCAATCTGGAAAGAATGGGGCTGACAAGGGGTTCTTTGTTCCTCCCGGGATGCGGCCGCCAGAGGTTTCCAGACCTCTTCTTGGACTATCTGTAAGGCTCGTAGATGTGCCTGCATGGAGGGGGTGTTGCAAAATCAGAAATGCCAGCATCAAAGAATGATGCAGCTGGCAGTGGACTGCCATATAGGATTTCAAAGGGAGTTAGGCCATGAGGGCCTGGAGTGTTTCTGGCCTGATAGAGGGCCAGAGGTAGGAGTTGTACCCAGTCCTTAGAGCCAGTTTCAAGCGTTAATTTGGATAAAGCCTCCTTAATGGTTCTATTCATTCTTTTTACATGTCCTGAACTCTGGGGTCTGTAAGCACAATGTAATTTTCAATTTATCCCCAGCAACCTGGCAACCAGCTGACTTACCTGGGAGACGAAGGCAGGCCCATTGTCTGATCCTATTACCTGTGGCATCCCATATCTGGGAAAGATTTCTTCCAATAGTCTCTTGGTGACCATTTTTGCAGTCTCATGTTTGGTAGGAAACGCTTCCATCCATCCTGAAAAGGTGTCTATAAAAACCAGTAAATATTTATAACCATACATTCCAGGTTTGACTTCAGTAAAGTCTATTTCCCAATGGACACCAGGCCTATGGCCATGAAGCCGGGTCCCAGGATCCAGTTTGGTTTTTCCTTGGTTGATCTGGGCACAGGCCAGACAGTTAGCAGTTACTTGTTCCAGTAATAAATTCCGATTGGGAAGGTAAGTTTCAATTTCTTGTCTATCTAGCAAAGTTTTCATTTTTTTGGTGCTCAGATGAGTCAGTTTATGGAGGTGGTCTATTAATATTCTTGCCATTTTTATAGGCAGTATGGTCTTTCCTTGGTAGACCCAGCATTGCCGATTGGGGTCATAATCTGCACCTAGTTTCTGAACAATGTCCAAATCCGTTTCATCATAGTCTCAATCTGGAGTCTTAGCTGTTTCCTTTTCAGTCAATATGGTTATATTGGCTATATGGTTATATAGTTGGGGGCCTAAGGCTGCTTGTTTGGCTGCTTCATCAGCCAGGCTATTTCCTTTTGCCTCCAGGCTTTCCCCCTTTTGATGTCCAGGGCAATGCATTATACTCAATTTCTTAGGAAGGAACAGGGCCTTTAATAATGTCAAGATTTTATTTTTATTTTTGATTTCTTTGCCTTCTGATGTTAAAAAGGCCCTTCTCCGATAAATTTCTCCATGGACATGGGCAGTGGCAAAGGCATACCGGCTATCAGTGTACACATTAAGCTTCTTACCTGCTGCCATCTGGAGAGCCTGAGTCAGAGCAATGAGTTCAGCTCACTGAGCAGAGGTGCCTCCGGGGAGTGCAGTGGCCCATATGACCTCTGAGGCATTCGTCACTGCAGACCCTGCCCGTCTCTCACCATTTAGCAAGTAGCTGCTGCCATCTGTGAACCAGGTGTAGTCTGCATCGTTCAAGGGCTGATCGGTCAGATCAGGCCACATTCCATGCATCTCTGCAAGGATCTGCTGACAGTCATGGGAGGCTGGTCCCTCTGGCAGCGGTAACAAGGTGGCTGGGTTCAGGGTTACTATTGGCCCAAACTGAACCCTGTCTACATCCAGGAGCAGGGATTGATAGTGAGTTAGACGGGCGTTAGATAGCCATCTATCTGGTGGCTGACGGATGAGGGACTCAACTGCGTCTGGCGCCAGTATGGTCATTGGCTGTCCCAGAGTCAATTTGGTGGCATCCTTGATTAGGACTGCAATCGCTGCCACCATCCGGAGACATGGAGGCCATCCTGATGCAACTGGGTCTAATTTCTTAGACAAGTAGGCAATGGGCCGTCTCCAGGGTCCTAACCTTTGGGTTAAGACTCCTTTTGCATAGCCCTGTTTTTCATCAACAAAGAGTTCAAAAAGCTTGGTGACATCTGGCAAGCCCAGGGCTGGTGAGGACAACAGGACCCGCTTGATAGCATCAAAAGCCTGCTGTTGTTCCTCAGTCCATTTAAAAGGTGTGTCTTGCTTGGTTAGCGGGTAAAGGGGGCCGCTATTTCTGTGAACCCCAGAATCCAGAGTCTACAGAAGCCTGCAGTCCCCAAAAATTCCCTAAGTTGACGTTGGTTTTGGGGGGATGGGTATACGAGATATAGTTTCTTTGCGGGCAGGTGTCAACCATCTTTGCCCATCCATTAGCTTGTATCCCAAATAGGTGACTTCCTGTCTACATATTTGAGCCTTTTGGCAGAGGCTCGATACCCCAGGTTCCCCAGTGTTCGTAATAGGGCCCCAGTACCTGTTGTGCAGTCCTGTTCAGTGGTGGCTGCAAGGAGGAGGTCATCCACGTATTGCAGCAGGATCAGAGATGGATGCTTGATCCGCAAATCTGCCAGGTCTTGGTGAAGGGCCTCGTCAAAGAGAGTGGGGCTATTCTTGAACCCCTGGGGTAGGCGTGTCCAGGTCAATTGCCCTGAAATGCCCAGTTCTGGATCCTTCCATTCAAAAGCAAATAAAGGCTGGCTCTGGGGGCTCAGCCTCAGGCAGAAGAAAGCATCTTTCAAGTCCAGAACAGTGTACCAGGGATGAGTAGGAGGCAGGGTGCTTAGTAGGTTATAGGGATTTGGCACCGTGGGGTGAATGTCCTCCACTCGCTTATTGACTTCCCTAAGATCTTGGACTGGCCTGTAATCCCCGGTTCCTGGCTTCTTTACAGGCAGAAGTGGAGTGTTCCATGGGGATCGGCAGGGGATCAAGATCCCTTGGTCTAATAGTCTCTTAATGTGAGGCTTGATTCCTTGATATGCCTCATTTGACATAGGATACTGTTTAATTGAGACAGGGGTGGCTGTTGCCTTCAGGAGAATTATTAGGGGTGACTGTTGTATGGCCAGCCCCATGCCCCCTGTTTCTGCCCAGGCCAGGGGGTGTTGTTTTAACCATAAGTCCATTCCTTCCTGATGTTCAGGAGGCTTTTTAAAAAGTCTATATTCATTTTCCAATTGTAAAGTCAGTATTTGAAGTGGAGCCCCTTGTGGGCCAGAGACTTTAGCTCCTGATCCTTCAAAATGGATCTGTGCTTTTAATTTAGTCAGTAGATCTCGACCCAGTAATGGATATGGACAGTCCGGTACATGCGAAAAGGAATGTGAGACTTTACCTGATGCGAGATGAACTTTCCTCTCCGTGGTCCATCGGTATTGTTTTTCTCTGGTGGCTCCTTCTACCCAAGCTGTTTTGGTACTCAATAGCCCGTTCGTTTCAGTGAGAACTGAATGTTGGGCTCCAGTGTCCACCAGGAAGGTCACTGGCTGCCCCCGACTCTTAAGGTTAGCCTGGGCTCAGGGAGGGGGGGGTTCCTGGCCCCGACTGCCCTAGTCCTCATCTAGGGCTAGAAGCTGAGTTGGTCTTGGGAGTCTGTCTCCATGCCTCTGAGTTTTAGGTCTCTTAGGGCAATCTTTGACCCAATGGCCTTTTTCTTTACAGTAGGCACACTGGTCTCGATCTACCCTGGGCCTCCTTTCTTCTCCCTTTCTTTCCTGACTTCCTGCATTATGATTATTCTGAGCTACAGTGGCCAGGATTTTGCTTAATTCTTTCCGGTTTTTACGATCTCTTTTTTTCTCTCTCTCTCTTCTAGCTCCTTTTTTAATTTGCCCTCTCTTTCCTCCTGCAACTTTTTAAGTCTTCTTTCTTTTTCCTCAGGTGTTTCTCTCTTATTAAAGATCTTTTCTGCTTCCTTTACGAGATCCTGCAGGCTATAATCTTGTAAATTATCTAGTCTCTGCAACTTAGTCCTAATATCTGGAGCCGACTGCCAAATGAAAGCCATAGAAACATTGCCCCTTTGTTCATTACTATCAGGATCAAAGGGTGTGTACATATGGTAGGCTTCCTTTAGCCTCTCCAAAAATGCAGTCGGAGTTTCCTTCAGTCCCTGGGTTATCTGTCTTACCTGAGCCAAATTCGTGGGACGGTGTCCAGCGCCGCGGAGGCCCGCTATGAGTAACTGGCGATAAAGGCGCCGGTGTCCCCTACCGGCAGCAGTATTGAAGTCCCAATCAGGACGATTTAGGGGAAAAGCTTCCTCAGTTTCATTAGGCAACTGAGTGGGTCTCCCATCATCTCCTAAGACGTTCTTTCGAGCCTCCAGGAAGACACGTTGTTTTTCTTCTGAGGTTAGAAGGACCTGCAAAAGCTGTTGGCAGTCATCCCAAGTGGGTTGATGGGTTATTAGGATGTATTCAATTAGATTAGAGAGAGCTACAGGGTCTTTGGAGAAGGAGGGGTTGTTAGATTTCCAATTATAGAGGTCGGACGCCGAGAAAGGCCAGTATTGAAATTGGCCTCCTGGTCCGGCAGTCTGGCGCAGGGGAAAGGCTCGGGAGGTTCCTTCTGTGGCTGTCTCCCTTCTACCACTGAGTCTGCCAGCTACTGGGGAGTCTGCAGTAGTGTCTTCTTGTCCGTTGTCCAGGGCAGGAGTGGTACTGGTACTGTCTGGTTTGTCCGGACCCCTTTGCCGGGCATCACCGCCACCTACAGTGCCCTGGGTAGGGGGCTGATAAGGGGGGGTGATTCCGTCTTCTGAAAGTAAATCTATAAGATCAGACTCATCAGCAGGAAGAATAGGTTTGGAGTGAAGGGTTTTCTCTTTCTTGAGGACAGGATATAATTGAGATTTGGCAGAAGCCTGAGAGGGAATGAGTGGTACAGAAGAAGGCAAAGGAGGAGCAGTGGGTCCCTGTGAAAGTGGGGCCACATCAGTCTCGGGGAAAGATTTAGAAGGGGGTTTGGAGTTGACAAAGAGAGCCACCCAAGAGGGTGGGTCAGAGGCCAGATTTTCCCAGGTGACAATATAGGCCACCTGGTCAGGGTGTCCATGGGGCCCGGCATCGAAGACTCATTCCTTTACCTGCAAGATAATACCAAGGTCGAAAGTCCCATCACGGGGCCAGCCGACGTTAAATGTCGGCCACTCAGAAGCACACAGGACTTGCCATCTCTTTTTCTTTACGTCCATTGACTGGTTGTACACTCGGCCCTGGGGTCGCTCCAGTGACCTAGGGTCAGACTCAAAGGGGTAGTTACAGATTGTCCCATGTCTTTTTCAAAATAAAGAAGCAAGTAAATAGACAAGGCAAACAGATCAGAGAGACAGCCGGCACAGAGACGTGCTGCGCGACTTCGGCGTAAAACCGAAACCAGATACTGAGTTGGAGGCACAGAGGGTCTTAAGCCCTCTGGCCCCTCCAAAACCACGAATCCCTGGGACTCGTTGTGGGCTCCGAAAAATCGGGAGCCCCAGATCCCTGAGACGTCTCCCAGGGTGGCGGGTAGAAGTCTGAGCTCGTCAGCTCCTTCTCAAGCCACCTACAGACTCGACTAGCCTAGCCAATTACCAATCGCTGCGCAACAAGCAACAAGTAAAAGACGTATGAACAAGACAACAAAGAACAGAAATTAAGCGCTGGCCAGCTTACCTCCCGGTGGGTGTCAGTGTCAGTCTCCAGGGGGAAGGGTCTCCAATCTCGGTGGAACCTCCAATGAAAGACCCCAAGAGTTTGTGGAGCCTGTCAGGGGGGAAGGCCCTTGCCCCCAAGAGACGAGACCGGACCACTGGATGCAAGTGCAAGAGGTTATTTATTGTTTACACACAGGTACCTATGGACGCCCTAGTCTTTCGAGAGACTGAGAGAGCGTGCCTGGTTAAAGCATATGCAATTTATATAAGGTTGGTGTAGCAAGAAGCAGGCTTACAGAAGTAGAAGCATGGTTACAGGGACTTCATTGTTTCATCTAAATGTAGCAGTTGTAGTTAACCAAGGACAGTTGGTTATTTGGGTTGGGCACAAAGAATACAAAGAATTCAGTTATGACTATCTCAGCATACTGGACACTGTCCTGCTGACCTTGCTTTAGTCCAAGCTGCAGACCACAGATACCTGGTTGGCGTTGGATGAGAGCAGCACCTGGTTCCCTCCTGTACTTTTCTCATAGCTTGACCCTGGCAAATTAGCAAGAGCAGTTGAAACAGGCAATAAGCATAGTGGGGGTTTTTCATAAGAAATTAGTAACTGGCCAGCAGCTTTATATCAAATACAGCGCCTCTGTGTGTTATTTGGGGCTCCTGTGGCTGTGGGTCCAGACAGGCAGGAAACACCTACACATAACAAGATCCCCATATGAATCTACCAGCTGATGAAATGGATTGCGAATTAAAGGAAGTGTGCTAGAGGTCTCAGAGTTTCATAAAAAACACCAAAAAAAAAAAAAAAAAAAAAAAAAAGACAGCAAAAAAAAAAAATTTTAAAAAAGGATTTTTCCATTGGCAACAAGCTAAGGATATATCAAATAAATAAATTAATATCCTACTTGTCCATTCTGTAACAAACTCCTGTACCTCCAGGTAGCAATCCTAAAGGTATACCTAGAAAAGGAATCTGGCAAATGGATGGTTTCACTTTGCAGAATTTGGATAACTAAACTATGTGCCCCATTTTCAGGATTTCAATGGGCCACTGCTCTGAGTTCTGAAAAGTCTGACTCTGATATCAAACACCTCTTAGAGGTAATGGCAATTATGGGTTACCTGCACAAATAACTGACAAGGCTCTGGCATATGCGTCCATCAAATTGTAATGTTCTTTTGAATATTATAACATAAAGCATAAAGCTGGTATACCACACAATCCCACAGGACAAGCACTACTTGAGAGATCTAATTGCACTTTAAAGGAAATGCTCTATAAGCAGGTTGGAGGAACCAAGACCTGCCACCCCCTGCCCCCCTAAAACACACACACACACACACACACACACACACACACACACACACACACAGATTACTTAATGCTTTACTAACATTAAACTGTCTCATGATAATGAGAAGGGGAAAACAGTTGCAGTAAGACACTGAACAACAGAAAACAACTTTCTGCACTAAACCAGCTACTGTACTTCAAGGATGCATTGACCTTGGTATGGAAACCAAGATATGTGTTACACTGTGGTAGGTGTTTCCTCTTTGTTTCTACAGGAGAAGAAAAGCTCTGGATACCATCACAGATGATCAACATCTGATTTTAAGAGGAGAAACCTCTTGATGATGAGAAAAGAAAGATCGTCCACCAAGGTATATCCCAGGAGATGTATGGAGACCTCACAAAGGTAAAAGGAGTGTTTTGATCTTTCCTGGGATGAAGAAAAAAAAAACCCATCTCCAAAAAAGCACAAAGACACAGAGCATGTATATGCCTAAAGAGGAGAGGGTAGCTATCCAGAAAGAACCATCAAACAAAGGAGAATCTAATGCTATGTTAAAATACTTATAGTATACTCATATCCTCTTACCTCCTAGCACAGTCATAGTCCCTATATACATAAAAATCATATCTGGCTTTGGAGTTGAACTTGACCCTCCTTCTCCAAGTTCAAACATGTTATTTGAAGAAAATTCAGAGTTTCTGTCTCATATCAAAAGCCATTCGTGTAAGACAAAAGGAAACAAAATCTAGGACTCTAATATCTGTAAAATCCCAATTTTCTTCATTCTTAACCCATCCTTATTGTTACCTTTCCCTGAATGTCCACCTATTGAAGTTAAGCTTTCTGTGCTGATATTAATGTTTAAGTCCTCCACAGCAAACAAAAACGTTCCTAACAGCAATCTTTGAAGTCTCCCGAAGGAAGATGGGGCCCATTTCATCTATTCCATTTGATTCCACTTGATGCCTCTGAACAAACAAACATCACCCTAAAACCAGGTTGGGAGTATAAAGCTGGAGACATCTCCAGACTAGCTGGCTGAAAGGGTGCACCTTCTTGTTACACTGTGGCCACAGCTTCAGATGAGAACTTCAGTCAAGCATCTCCTGCCAAGCAGAGACTGGCTACAAATGTTACAGCAGGTCCTCTCCAGACTTTTGTTGCCTTAGGGGATAATATACACCTGCATAGGGTTGGGTTTTAGTTCTTTAGGACAGGGTATGGAAGGTGATGCTCAGACTCGGGTATCTCTTTTAGGTAAGTTTTGGATATGGATGGGAAAGGTATGGTTAGGGTGGTATACTGCCAGATTTACATATTATCTAGTGAACTAAGTTTAGCAACTGTTAGCTATAGATAATTTGAATTGCTAGATCCTTGATAACCTAAGTTGTTAGATTCTTGTATTTGGACTGTTCGGGTCCTCTTTCTGCTTATGATGTTTTGCACAGAAATATAAAACTGTCTGGATGTAAGTACATATTTTGAATGTTGATACAACTTAGGATATTTTATCATATTGCACATTACGGTTCTACCTTTAGTCAAGACATTTCAGGTATATGTCTGTTAGTGAGAAATGTATATATGTATATTGTTACATTTCTGAAGTCTTTGTCCTTTGGGTCATTTTTCTGTCTTCTAATGACTTGAGAGATTTTGATGATCTCTCCTGGATGCCTCACCAACCTTGGGGAGTGAGTGGGGAACGGGATGAGGGGCAGTTGGAGGGTGGTCATAGAAGGGAGAAGGTACTGGGATTGATATGAAAAACAATAAAAAATAATTTTGAAAAAGGAAAAACATGATTTTTATGAAATGAAAAGCATGGAAGTTTCTATGGAAATGTGTTGTTTGCTAATGGAGGCTTCTCTGATTGTTGCTCCCAGTGCTAATGAATGGCTAAAACATAATCAAAAACAGCCCTAACACTGTCAGTTTAGCCAGAGGACAGTATACAATGCTCCAGAGGAGCTTATGATCTTCCTGACTTTGGTTTGGACAAGGATTACAATACTGAGTATGGATTCTGTGCTTGGGATCAAGTCTAATACAACCAGCATTGTTGGTTGCCCCAACAACTGTAGTGTCAGTCTCTTCAGAAAAATTTTTATCATTGTAAATACCTAATGTAATTGGGTGATTTGGTGTAATTCCCTCAAGAACTGACACCTTGGACTATATTCTCTAAATCTCTAAATCAAGCTTTTGTTTCCAAACTCCCTCAGGTCTCTTATTGCCTTCCCTTCAAGAGTGAAAGCAGTAGATAGACACTGGATGAACAGGAATCCAGTCTTGTTTTGGAAAATGCCACCAAGCAGTATTTTTACTGCGGTGGGGAACATTTGCCATCTGTACTATTTTCTCTACAGATTGTTATTTTCACTTTAATAACTGTCAATGAAATCAAATACTGGCATCACAGTATCAAATAGTAATTTTTCAATGACCAGTCCTCCTTGATATCTTAGTCCTTCCATCTTTTCCAGTGCTAGCAGGAGGACTACACTTAATTATGGATTTAGACAACATCAGCACTTTCAACAGTCCTGCTGCCAGTTGGAAATGGAAATTTGTCAACACTTATTTTGATATTTTAGACACGTAGAAAAATAGCCTTAGTTTACCCTGGCTTGCAAGTTGTGGCTCCCAGAAAAGGAAATAAAACAACTCAAAACCCATACACGCAAAAGCTGGGTGGAACAGAAACTATACTCCTAGCCTTTACTGAGAATTTAATACCTATGCATAGGAGGCTTCATGGAGATACACCCATTGTATTTTGCAAAAACCATAGTTATTCCTGCACCTCCTATATTATTTAGCTGTTTGAAGACTTCATGAAATAACATTAAAAGATTTCTGGCTCTAATACATCCCTTGCAATTCCTTATCAACATAATGTAGATTATGTAGATCGACATGATTGCTCTTCAATAACCTCAGTAATGTCTTGTCTGTTATTATGTTGTATTATGTGCTTGTCAACTCAGTGAGAACTAGTAAATTGCTTGACATCCACACCCAAAAAAAAATGTTGCAATGCACTTAAATTTGTGAAGGTGTTATGGCAGGTACTCGAGACCCCATACAGACAAAGACTGGACTCTGATGCAATAACAAATATTTCTTCATTTATTCAAGCAGCGAGGCTTGGGTCTCACTCCATTGGAAGGACATGAGATTTACACTGGCAAATCAGGGAAGCTTTTAAAGAAATAGATCATAAGCGTCAAGGCCACAAATTGCAAAGTTTCCATAGTTACTCAAGATCCTTACAAATTACAAAGTAAAG